ATATAAACTCTAACTCAGGACTATGCTGTTAAAAAATATACTTTAAGCTTAACTCAATGCTATAAAATTATTTTGTAATACAATCTTTACACTATTCTTATATCTAGTTAGGATAAGACTTCGAGTAGATACCATGACACTCGTACTTATTTTATCACTCAACAAATAATTAAATATTCATATTTATTATTTTTAGATATCCATTAAAAATATTCATTTATTTAGTATCTATTACATTTTTTCCTATTTGTAAGATACAATTTTCTTTTTTCATCTATAAATATAATATTTACTTTGGACATCACATTTTCAAAATTATTTTGTTATGTAATATAACATCCTAAAAATCCTCTTAAATAAAGATACATATATTCAGAGGTGTTCTTATTTAATTAATAATATATAGTCTTCAAAGCTTTGTCTCAACTCTAGAGTTACCAATCCTATCTGTTTTCCCTTACTTTAACGAAAATTTCTAACACTTTTTTTCTTTTACACAGTTTTAACACATAATTTTGTTCTATTTACACAACAAAAGTTCCGTCAACTATAAAGTATGATTTTATGATCATATATAAATAAAAATTTGCTTAAAATATAAAAAACTTACATGTAAAGAAAAGAACACGTACAAAAAGAAAAAACAGATTGTCTCAAATAAAAAATAAATAAAAAATGATCAAAATCCATTCAGTACAAAATGATCCTTAACATTTCAGCTGCTCAAGATTGTTATCATTTTTTTAAAAGATGAAAGTGGAAAACGAAATTCGAAAAAGAAGAATGAGAAACGAGGATTTAGTTGAGAATGTGTCTTGGAAGAAGAGTAAGTACAAAATTTTCACTTTTTTTTTCTTATCTCCCTCTTTAAAATTATAAATTTATTGTATTATATTATTATTTTTGCTTTCTTATTTGATTAGGCATGTTACATGAACATTTTTTTTAAATGCTAATGTTATTCACTGTATTCAAATTTGTACTATACGATCTCTTTCCCAATACCGTCCATCAGGTTGACCACCGGGCTGACCATTCATATGGATCGATCGTCCTGTATGGACCTAACGGTCTTCCCAAGACCGTCTACCTTACAATCCTGGCCGACTACATGGTCCAGCACCCATAATGATCGACCTTTCGGCCGACCAACCACTAGGTCGACCGCATGGTTAGATTATAAACAGTAATAGCTCATTAAAAGCTCATAATGAAGATTAAGGTGTGATTGGGCTATCATCAAGCCCACAAAAGGTAAAAGCCCATTACAACCAGTATAAATAAGAGTCTCAGGTATGATTTTTGGCAGACTGTTGACGCTGCACATTATGCTCTACTTGCATCACTTATTATAATCGTTTGGTCACAGTGCCTTTAACAGGTGCCCGCCCGCCCTCCTTGGAGGACGACGACAACGATCATCCATAGCGCCATGGAGAGAAGCTTGCTCGGTCTTCAACCTAGAGCATGGAGTAGCGTCCGTCCGCCACCAAGCCCTGTCCGGTCCGTAGCGTCTACATCGTTCGTTCGCCAGTCTTTAGCATCCGCTAGTCTTTAGTCTTCGATACTATTAAGAGTGTTTTAGTAGGGTCCCCACCAGATCCGACCGAAACAAAATTATTGTTAATTTAATAATATTTTACATATAATTGGAATACAAAATTTTCAATCATTAAAATGTCTAACTATTTACACAACCAATATTGTTAAACATTAACTATAAGTTTATAAGTTAATGAACTCAGTAGAGAAAATCAATTTGAAGTATTAATGGATATATAATCAAATATTGACTTTACTTCGCTTTGGAATAAGCACAAGCAGGAGATAGTTGTATTATGTGTATTGTCTAACTTGACGAGGAACCCTAAACATATAAGAAAAATAATTATCTGATAATCAAAAAAACTCTTTTTAACAACAGTCATAAAAAATACGACTTAAATAAGAAAAAAGTTGATGATCTTATCCCGATCAATACCCTTATTTTTAAATTTAAACAATATTCTCAATAAATATAATTTCAAATGATTTAGGAAATTATTAAATATGGAACTGATTCAAAATATAATGTACCTTAATTAGCCTGACTCTCGTTAGGTTACCTAATATAAAAAATTGTATGAAAAAAAATATAATTGGATCATTATCACTTACACATAATGGCAAAATGTGATAACATTCACTTAATTGAAAACCCAAGTTGGGTTTGTCCATGGTAGCAAAAATAAATACAAATTAATTGACATCAGCAAAGAAAAAAAATAAAATAAAATTGAAAGACAACCATACTAAATAGACAACTAAGTATATCGATCTCTCACATGAAACTTTATTTGGTTTTTTCTAAAATAAAAGCTAGAAAGATGGTCCCCTTGGGAAAAGCAGAAACGATTGAATTAAAGTCAGATTTTGCTATTCTTATTAGTTTGTCTTTCATTCCTTTGGTATGTCCATATTGAATAAATAGAGTTATGAAATTGAAAAAGAAAATTACAATTTACTGATTTTTAACTTTTAATTTTCAATTTTCAATTACACTGATCAAGTCTAGTTTTTTTCCCAATTATTGATTTAGTTTATTAATATGATCCATTTTACCAATGCTTTTCCTTTGTCAATTCGATTCGTTTTTGATTAATAATAAAATAAAAAATATTTTATTGGGAAGTTGATAGCAACAATAATAAAATGAAAGAAAAGAAGAAGTGATTGGTCTTGGTATTCAAAATATATAAATAAAAAATTGAAAATTGACTAATCAAAATAAAAAGGAGAGGTTTGAAAGTTTCAAGTTCTTATATAGATGTATTAAATGACTAAGATGACATGACTTTTCATTAAGCTCGTAACAGAAATTATATGTCAAATTAGGTCAACATTTTACCAATAATGTTCTTAGGTGAAATTGTGTCAGCATTTCATTAAGATAATTTATATATAGCAAACATGTTCATCTAACACCTACACTTGAAGAGAGAATAAAATTATATATTTATAAACTATATGATATAATAAAAAAGTAGAAAATAAGTATATAATAAATATATATAATTAAAATATATATGTGTTATTGTTCTTTTATTAATTTATAAAGATGTCAAAATAGATTTCTAACACATAAAGTCAATTTCAGCTAGTACTAATGAGTTTGGTTAAAAAAGTAATTTTATCTAAATATAGATTAAATTGAATCTAATTCACTTAACTCCCTCGTTAAATAGGTTTAAATTAATTAAATTTGAATGATATTTAATTTTTTTATTATAATTATTTACCATTTTTAATTATGTAGGTTAATGATTTGATTTTTTAAAATATTATAATATTGTTTAATAATATTAGAAAAATTTGGAGGGATTTTAATGTTGTGAAATAAGACATGTTTCTTTCATAATATTTACTATTCATGAGAGAGGAGGTGAAAATAGTGAAAATGACATATTTGTTTATTGGGATTTGTGAGTAAATGGAAGAGAATATTTAACAGGTGAAATATTATTTCACGAAGGTAAGGTGGTTTGACGAGATGAAAAATGCAAATATAAATGATCTTTGACTCTTTTTTTTTAATTTACAGCCATTCATATATGATAACTAATAATTATAATACGATGTATTTAATTTTTTTCAAAACATTCTAATAATTTAAAATAAAATCTTATATACATGTATATAACTCCGTTTGAGTATCTAAAACCCCACTAATAATACTTTTCACACCATTTTTTACTTTTTAATTTAATTAAATTCATTTAAAACTTTATAGTTTCATTTACTTATATATATACATACTCAAACCTCATGCTCTCACTTAAATAACCAATTTCTGCATCAAATTTTCATTTATAAAAAAACCAAATTCATCATATTACAAGTCAAATTTCTCATTTAACTACTCATGCAAGAATTTAAATTCCAAAAACTTGTACACATCAGTCAAAGTCAATATTTTTCTACCTAAAATACTCATTTTAAAACTTTAATACAAAACAATGCCAGTTTAAGTAAAAAATTTCAAAATAAATAATTATTCTAGCTTCTCTTGTATTTTTGTGTTCTTAAAAATAATTTATAATTCATGCATGCAAACATTACTAGAAAAAAATATTGATTTGAAGAAAAAGAAATCTACTCAAACAAAAATGCAATCAGATTAAATTTTCATAAATTCTACTTCCTCCCAAAATAAGCCTTCTAATGGGATAAAAGATGAGATGAAGTTTTAAGATTTTAGAGAAAAATAAAAAGAATGTAAACACAATCTAAAATAACAGTATAATATAAAAAATAATTTGCTAAATAGTTAAAAATTATAACTTATAGTTAAACATAAGACAACAGTTTAACCTCTATTATGTTTAAATTCCACTTCAATAAAATAATTTAGAATCATATTTAATATTTTAGAAATTGTAAAGGAACGTATTTTTCCTTTCTTTATTTATCATGTTTATGAATTTATTTTTAAAAATAAATTATCAAATAAAAGACAATATTTTTTTTAAAAGAAAACGCAAGCTGTGCAGTAACTGGAAATTTTAAATAGTTACTTCACAAAATTATTTCGACTACGATAATATTTAAACTTAAAAAATATAAAAGGGACAACAAGAAATTAAACTAAAAAAGAAAAAGAGAACTATATATTGGGAAATCTGATTTCCAAAAAAGCCAATCCTCGTACGTAAGATTTTTTTTAAACATTTTAATATTATTTACGTGTATGATTGGTCCAAATTATTTTACAATTAATAATAATAATCATAAATATGATCATGAATCAATCATAGAATAATATAATGTTAAAATATTATAAAAAAATGTCATTAGTATCATTATCAAGTATATATAGATAAATATTTGGAGAAAATGAATATTTAGATAAATAATTTCTTTTAATAAAAAACGAGGTAGAATATTTGAATAATGTGTTTTTAGTAATAATTGCTTCTGTGAACAAAAAGTAACAGGTTGCCAGTTGCCACATGATGGAATCAACGGTGAAGAGGGCGAGGGTTTGTAGAGTCACTGTAAAAGTGGAACTGTAGAGGGGAAGCAAATCCAATATCTTATCTCATCATCGTCATCATCATATACCCTTTATTCAGAATCACTCAAAGAAAAGTAAGAACAGTGTTGAGAAAAATAAAGAGAAAGGAAGAGATTAAGCAGACATGGATGGGTTGCAGGTAGCTCTTCCGATTGTGGGAGTTCTTGCGGCGGCAGCTGTGACTTTCTATGCAGTGAGCTTTTCTGAGCTTAAAGAGGTACTTTTTTTCTTCCTTTTATCTTTTATCTATCAACCCCATTTAAAATTCTTTGTTCTAATTTAAATTCCAATGTTAATTGACCCAGAAATCGTTTAGAGATTTGGAAGAATCTGAATATGAAGATGGAGTTTATAGGCCATCCCCTAGCTCCCGAGAGAGGCGTGCCAGAAGACAAGCTAACAAAAATAATAAAAAATGAACCTTATTATTAAGCTTGTGTTTAGATAGAGTTTAGTGTTTTTAATCAGAAACAAAACTGGATTTTCAATATAAAACAATCTCAAAGGTTATTGTATCGAAACAAAGTTTAGGGATTTTCTTTTTCGAATGATATGTAGTTGTCTATTTAGTTTGGTTGCATTTC